CCCCCTTACCGCTGCCGGAATTCCTGGAAGACGATCCTGTTTGGGAAGCCCTGCCGGCAGATGCGGATGCCCTCCAAGACCCCGTTGCACCTCAGCTGCTCCAGCACCAGGTGGGCGTCCAGCTTCCCTGCCTGGAAGAAATGGGGGGGGGGGAGGGGGTGACCCTTCTGGAGGGAAAGGAGGAGGAGGAAGGGAGGGGCCGATGGGGGAGTCCTGAGGTGGCCTAAAACAGCCCCCCAGAAGCAGCCTGGAATGCATCGCCTTCCGCCTCCAGAGCCTGGAATGAAACGCTGCCTCCCCCCAAAAGAGACCCAGCCCCCCTTTAAGGGGGGAAGCAGAGCGCAGGTCTGTGCCGGCCCTCCCCAGTCTCTCTGTCCGCAGATGGGTCGGACCCAAACTCCCGTGGCTGTCTGGGGCTGATGGGAGTTGGAGTCCAGCAGGGCTGAGGGAAGGGCTGCCCAGCGCCTGCCCCGTGGAAGCCCCGCTGGGCACGGACCCTTTTCTCGTGGTTTGGGATGATGCAGCGGACGAAGTTTGGGTTGGTGTTCCTCAAGGTGGTCATGAGCTTCGTCAGCTGCTCCTTGTACAGCTGTCCCACCGTCCGGAACATGCCCTTCTTGGTCTTGGAGGCGCTGGGCAGGGAGCTCTCGGTCATCTTGGCCATCTGGTCCAGGCCCACGATGCGGTCCACTGCCATACAAGGGAGGGCGCAGCGTCAGGTGCCTTGGCCAGCGAGGCTCCACCCACCGCTGAGCTGCTCCCACCCAATTCCAGGGAGGCCCAGGGGTTTTTTTGGGGGGGGGGGGGGGGGGGGCAGCAGCTCCAAGGACCTCCGACCTTGCTCAGTTGGTAGCTGAATAAAACCCTGGTTCCCACCGGTTTATTCCCTACCGTCTTTCCAGAGATCCGCCACGAACTTCTCGGAAGACTGGTTCAGCAAGGCCGTCACGTTGTCATTCAGAGGGTCCATGTTCTTGGTCAGCCAGGCGCTGGCGTTGTAGGACACCTTGAGGAAGAAGAACCAAAGAGCCGCAGGGGTCACCAGCGGCGGCCAGAAGGCCACCCGGGAGCAGCTGGCGTGGGGGGCGAGGCAAGCAGGGCCTCCTGCAAGAGGGTCGCCAAGGGAGAGCGGGGAACGCGGCCTCTTCGGTACCTTCCCGGCATAGTGGATGATGCAGAACTCGGTTTTGTCCTTCAGCTGCTTCTGCTTCAGGAACTTGGGGTGGCTGCCCTGCTCGGTGGACAACTTCTCCACAAAGGAGGTGTCGGTAGCCTTGGGAAACCAGCATTCCTCATCCAGCAGGGCCAAGACCCCGGGGGGGTTATTCTGGAAGAGCAAGCGGGGGGGGGGGGGGCATGAGGCAAGTTCTGGGGACTTGCGGCGGAGCAGCCTTTGCCCAACTCGCTGGCAGGGGGAGCAGCCAAAGGTCCGATCTGGGGCTTTGCTCAGCAGGGGGAGGAGAGGCCGGCCTTGAGGGGACGGGGGCCGCTCTGGGGAAGGGCTCAAACCATCCAGGTGGCCAACCCCTCCTGTCCCCTCCTGTCCAGGTCACCAGCATTTTAACGGAGGTTTTCTGCTGACCCACTGCATCCTGGGAAATAACAGGCAGACAGACCTGAAAGGGACCTTGGAGGTCTTCCAGTCCAACCCCCTGCTCAGGCAGGAAGCCCTGACTCCCAAATCCGGCACCGCCCCAAAGCTCCACGTTTCCCGCCCGCTTTCCTACATGCGTGAAGGTGGGAGGCGGAGGGCAGGGCCCGGCCCCCTCACCGGTCTTTCGATCAGCTCAATGCAAGGCTGCAGGTCCAGCCCAAAGTCAATGAAATTCCACTCGATGCCCTCGCGCTGGTACTCTTCCTGTTCCAGGATGAACATGGTGTGGTTGAAGAGCTGCTGGAGCTTCTCGTTGGTGTAGTTGATGCAAAGCTGCTCAAAGGAATTGATCTGGAAAGGCAGTGGGAGCCGCCGGTCACGCCTCCCGGCCAGAAAGGGCGCAGCCACGAGTGCCCTGGAACCGCCCCGGGCCCTACCTCGAAGATTTCAAAGCCGGCAATGTCCAGGATGCCCAAGAAGGAGGCGCCTTGCCTCTTGGTCTTGTCAAGGGCTTTGTTCACCCGGCTCAGGATCCAACGGAAGAGGCGCTCGTAGGTTGCTTTGGCCAAGGCCTCGACAGCAAAGTCAGCCTACAGAGGGAAGGGCAGCTGGGCTGAGCTTCTCGGAGACCCAGACCAGCAGAGCATCGAGGCTCAGGGCCAGAGAGCCGAGCTGGCCTCCTCACCTGCTCCTTGGTCTGAGCCTTCTGCACAACATCTCGCCCGACCTTGATGCGCGGCGTGAGGATGGACCGTGTGAAATCTGTCACGTTGATGCCCGTGAGGTGGCAAACCTTTTGGGCAGCTGGAATCAAGAGGCGTCGTCATCGTGAAGACCATCCATGGCTGACCAGGCTGCTCTGGCCACCTGGACGCCTCGGGGACCCAACTCTTCCCCCACTGCTTGGCACCAACCTGTGTTGTCCGGCATGGAGGCCTGATCAGTGTTTCGCTCCTTCTTGAAGACAATATTGCCAAGCTGGAGAACTGATGAGACGACTTTCAGCATCGCTGTGAGGTTAGGAAGGAGAGAAAAGCAAAGGTCGTCTCTGGGTAGCTGCTGGATTCTCCCTCCCGGTCACAGGGGCCTTCTTCCCCGTCACTGTTCCACCAGAGGCTTTACCGAGCTCACAGAGGGTCAGGATCGGGTCGAGAAGACACCTGCACCCAGGCTCCCCATGTGCCAGGGCTCCGGAAGATGCCTCGCCTCTAAGCCCTGGAACCCGAGGGAGGCGGTTGCATTCCAAACACCCAGAGCCAGAGTTCCTCTTGGGGTCTCTTACCAATCTGCTCTTCTTCTGTGAATCCCATAATAGTCATGGCTTCCAGGGTCTCCTCAAACATTTCGTTGTCCTGCTGAGAAGGGATGGGCACGTAGCCGTTGGAGAGGAAGGTGTAGTTGTTGAACCCTTCCAGCAGAAGATCCACTGCAAGGCAGGCAGAGCAAAACCTCCGTGAGGCCAAGAGCCGTCCGGGAACCTCCCCGGCTCTGGGCCCAAACTCCTGGGGCCCCTTGGCCTCACTGCTCCTCCGCCCTGGCCAGCCTGGCCCTGAAAGGCCCACTCCTACCCAAGGGGCTGAAGGGAAAGTCCCCTCCCACCCCCGGAGCCCCCGTGGAGAGCAGGAACACCCTCTTGGCTTCAGTGCCAATACCCCTGGGGGGAGGGAGACCCCGCTCCCCCCACCAGAAACCGCAGCTGCTCTGGGCTGCCCCTCCCCTAAGATCGGCCAAGGGGGCGACTTACGCTTCATTTGTTCATTGGCCCCAGCAAGTAAATAGTAAAAGATGTGGAAGGTCCTTTCCTCTCGGGCCTGACGAATAGCGCGAGATTTTTCCAGCAAATCTGTCCGTGAAGGTTCAGCAAGCAAACCATTTTGTCAAATAAATACTCGCTAACTTGCCCACATTGAGGTAAAACAAGGCCGTTGCCAGAAGCAAAAAGGGTGGGGGGGTTATGAGAAAGGATACAGGTTTCAATATTTGCTCCCACGATGTACCCCGTCACATCAAAGTTGATGCGGATAAATTTGCCCTGTTGGAGAAAGGAGACGGCCTGGGTGGGTGGGGCTTTGGAGAGGCGGTTGTCCATGTGGGGTGGGGGTCCTATAGCCTCGCTTTATAACCCTTCCCTTCCCTTCCCAGGGGACGAGAAGTCCTAGTCTCCATTTGCCAGTTTCCAGGGGGCCCCTTTCCCCTCCCTGCCTTCCCCTATTCAAGAAGTTGTCAACTTACGAATCGGGAGGAATTGTCGTTCTTCACAGTTTTGGCGTTCCCAAAAGCCTCCAGGATGGGGTTGGCCTGGAGAAGCTGCTTTTCCAACTCACCCTAAAATTGATCCAAGGGTTTGGCTGTCAGTCCGTGGCCGGGCAGAGGAGGGCGAGAATCGAAAAGGGTTGGGGGGCCATTCAAGCTGCCCCCAGGGAAAACCTCTCTGCCTGGACCAAATGCTCCGAGAGGCGCAGGGTTCTCGAGCTGCCTTTGCCGCAGGGAAGCGCCGCCAACTTAGATGCATGTTACCTACACGGAGATTCCCTGTGGCTCCTTCTGGCCTCCGGTTCCACTCTTTGTGGGACTTGGTCCTTCTTTTACTTTTTGGGTAAAACTGCTCAAGACGGCCGATTGCTGCATCCTGGATTGTCTTCAACCACAGAGGCAATCGGCCGCAACCCGTACCTTTTTTTCAGCACATTCATTAGGCCAAAGCAAAACAGAGTATTTTGTTTGCAATTGCCGCCGCAGCGTTCAGTTGGCAAGGCGAGGGCAACAGAAATTAGGCAAGGGGGCCGAAGGAATGGTTGCGCACAACCTTCCTTCTAATGCAGCCCGAAGCAGATTGCACGGCGTCTATTAACTTGGTTAAATACTGGCTATGACAATGCACGATTCATATTTTAAAACAAGACGACTTTTGCATGCAGAAAAAGGAACACCCAGGCAGGTACACACCAACCAAGTCACACCTCCAAGCCATGCTAAAGAGCGGCCCCTTTCCCGTCACCTCTCATCACAGTTGAAGCTGGGAGGAGGAGGAGGGGATGCCCCACCCCCACCTCAGCGCAAGGGCCGAGGCTGATGGAGGCTTTGGAAGAAGACATTGAGGGTGGTGAAAAGCCGCCCGATCGGCTATTGGCTTCCACACCCCTCTCTACGCTCCTTTGCCCTCCAAGGGTCTCTGCTCCCCTTTCTAAATTGGCAGGGGTAGTTCTCTGGCATGTCCTCCCACTTCACTCCGCTCCCCGTCCCAGCTTCTCCTCCCCACCGGTAGCCCCCGCTGCGTCCCCCCAATCGCTCCAACCTCTCCCTGGCAGGAAGGCTGGCAGGCTCAGCCAGATGCACAGCATGCAGGAGGAGACCCAGCAATGCCCCCCCACCCCCAGCCCCCACCCCCAGGGCGGGAGGGCAGGCAAGGGAGGGGGGAGATGCACACGGCAAGCCAAGAAGATCGAATCCGTCCCTCTGCTGGCACACGGGGGTCACCTGGGAAGTAGGACTGGCTTCCATAAGCCCCCAACCCACACACCCCCCCTCTGGGTCGGCCCACTCAGGGGGGTCCAGAAACAAAGCATTCATTCCTTCCGGAAAGAACCCTGGCGGGGGGGGGGGTTGGGAGGGGCACAATCCTGTTTGCCTGGGAGCAGCTGGAGGAAGGACCGGCCTGCTCCCAAGAAACAGCCTTATGTGCGGCCGAGATTCAGGTGGGCAACCAGGCGGGTTAGCCCCGGGGCGCTCTGGGCAGGCACCTCGGGACCCCCAGACCCTCCTTGGGGCGGGAGTGCAACCACACCATGCAGATCTACAGGCTGTGCCTTGACACACACGCTGAATCCAGTTACTCACGTAAGCAAAACTTGGCCCTTGCTGCAGTCAAACAACACGGCATAAAAGAAGCGTTAGTCTCGGTTCCTGGACGGCCCCCCTTGGCAAAGTGTGTCTGCCACTGTTCGCCTCAGCCCCCTCCCCCGCCTCCAGCTGTGCGAGGCAAAGAACATCAGGCCCAGAGAACCCACGCCGGGGGGGGGGGGGATAGATCTGACCCAACCAGGGGTGTGTGTGTGTGTGTGTGTCTTTCGCCTCTGGAGTCTGTGCTGCCTCCCAAAATGTGGCCCCTCAGCCTGGCAATGGGCGCCTCGATGCCTGCCTTTGATTAAGCAGGCACCACCTGACATGCCTTGCCCCACTGGCAGCCTCCAGAAGTCAGGGACTACAACTCCCATCACTCCTGCCTGCGTACGGCTGGGCCAGTTTGGCCTCAGTTGAGTCCAAATCCTCAGAGGATGTCGGGTTGGGGGAGCCAATGGTGGGTGTTACCTAGGAGTCAGGAAAAAAATACTGCACCGCGCCCCCCCCATTGTCATCCTCTTCCTGCTGTGGCTGAAAATTGGTCTGAAAGGGCGCCACCTGGTGTCCCCAGAGAAAGAAGCCCCCCCCGCCCCCCATGGCTGCCCACTAGACTGACGGGAGGGTCAGGGGCTGCTCACCGTGATGCTGACGTCTTTTTTACCCTTGTGTGAGGAGGCGACCACGGCCAAATACTGAATCACTTTCTTGGTGTTTTCTGTCTTGCCTGCGCCCGATTCTCCCCTGGGGGGGGGGGAAGGAGGAGGAGAAAGACATGAAGTGGGGGGGGCTCCCAGCCTGAAAGCTGCGGAGGGAGGAAGGAGGGAAGCGCAGGGCAGCTCCAGAGGCCAAAAGCGCCCCCCCCTCTGAGCATCTGCTCTCCCGCTGGAGCCCCCCTCATGCTCGGCTGCCCCCTACACGCGCTCCCCCCTCGCCTCTTTGGGGAGCTTTGCCCAGCCCACCCACCCCCGAGGGGCTGGTGGGCACTTTTGGGGGGGTTGGCAGTCTGACAGCCCTGCTGGGAGGGGAGGAAGACCCCCAGCCCCTCCTTATGCTCCATGAGGACTAGAACAGTGGCAGAAGGACTGAAGCTGGGGATCTCCACCCTGGTCTGGCTGCCCACGTATGCCAGGCTGCCTGGCACTCGGGGCAGTAGCTAATAGGCGGCACTTCTCTTCTTCCCTTCCTTCCATCATTCTAGAGCCATCCTGGATCCGGAGTCCATCGGACTCAGGAGGATGCTTTGCGATCTCTTTGGTGGCAACTTGGGAAACCGGGAGACCGGGTGGCTCACATCAGGGAAGGGGCTGGCTTGAGGAGCTCCTGGGTGGAGGGATCCAGCCCCCTGCTAAGAGCGGCGGGGGGGGGGGGGACTGCCAGGAGAGGCATGGCGGTGGAGCTGCGGCCTCCCACGCCAGCCAGCCGCCTTGCCAATTCTTCTTCCTAATTTGGAGGCGCCTTTTCTCCCCCATGATGGATGGGGGTGAAACAGGACAGACCCGGGTGGAGGCGAGCCATAAAAGGCCAGGCAGCCGCTTCCTGCGGGACTCCTTGTTCTTCCAGATGACCCCCTCCGATCAGCCGGGGTGGCCGAAGACGGGGGAGGAGATTTTGAGGAGCTGTGCTCTGCCTCAAGGTGACTTGTGCATGGGGAGGGGGCTCTCCCACCTCTGTCCCGGGTCCCCCAGGCCAGCTGCCTTGGCACCTCCTGGGCTTTGCAGGAAGCCTCCCTGGCCAGAGGGAGTCCATCTCTTGGCCTCTCTGGCCCTGCGGCTGGGGGGATGGGCAGGGCTAGCCCGTCTTTCTCGGCCCCTTCAAAGGATGGGGGGATAAGGCCAGAGGGCAGGTGCTTCTCCTGGGCTCGGCTGCCTGCGAGGGCCCCTCTGGCTGCAGGAGCCGATGCCCGGCTTGGCCTCCCAGCTCAGAAGCCCCAAAGGCGACCGTGGAGTGATACAAACGGGGGGCTCCGGGACAAACACGCCAGTGGAGGCCACTGATGGAGAAAGCTCTCCCCCCAAATCCCCTCCCCGAATCCTCTGAACTCCCTGCTTTCTGTCCCTCCCTCCTTCGGCTGCATTTCTGGCCAGAACAAGCCAGCCTCTTTCCAAGCATGCCTCTCCTGGGTGCGCTGGACTACAACCCCCATCACTCCCTGTCACTACAGTCCCTGCTGGGAGCTTCCTTCATCACCTCCACCTGGGCAGGAGCTGCTGTACCAGATCTGCCCTAAAGGGTCTCCGCCCCTTTCCGGCTGAATCCCCGAGGGGTTCCGCCCTAGGGGAAGGGATTGGGAGGGGGGAGCGGGGGGCGGGGGGGGCAGGGGAGAAGGTTGCCTTGGCCTGGTGGCATTGCCATGAGGAGCCCACCTGGGAAGGGCCCAGGGGTTCTCCGCAGCGGGGGGGGGGGGCTGCTGTGGTTATGGGGACAAAGCCGGTTTTTTCCCACCCGGGCCCCCCCCCCCCCCCCGGCAGCTGGGCGCCCTTAAAAGTCCACCAAAAGGGAGCTGCAAGGGAGCCTGCTAACTCTTCTGGCTCTACTTACGTGCAAAGGATGGATTGATCCTCTCGATCTGTGGACAGAAAAGGGAGCCGTGAGATTTCGGGGAGGGGTCCAGAGACCCCTGGAGCTGGTCTTGCCCAGGCAGGCGGTTTCTGCCACCAGTGCTACTGCCCCTCTTTGAAACTGGGGTGTTGGGGGTGAACTGGGACGCCCCGCGTGCCAGGCGGAGCAAGGGCGCTTCCCCTCTGGCACAGGCAGGCCAGGCTCGGTGCCCCCGGCATGACCCATCACTGCTGCACTGGCTTTTATCCCGTTTTCCCGACAGGGAGGCCAATCCCCGGCTTTCGTATCCAGAGGGAAAGGATTGAGGGAATATGGGATTAGAGACGCAAACAGGGCTATTTGTGGATGAGGTCCGGACAAAGAGTCCTTTTGGGCCACGGAGGTGGATTTCAGGCAGAGCTTCAGGGTCTCCAAAATCCACAGGGGAAAAGCCAAAGATACGCCCCCCCCCCCACCCCAAGCTGGAGTAAAGGTGGAGGCAGTTGGCAAAGGCTTTGAGGGAAGCAGGAAGGTGTCGGGGTGTGTGTGTGTGTGTCTACCTGCACCCTAGCTTCAGCTGCCCCCCTGGAGGTGAAATTGGAGCAGAAAGCCCAGGGCTGCCAACTGACCGGCCACCAGGGAAGAACCGCACAGCTGGTGCAGGGGAGGAAGGCAGTTTGGCAATGCCAGTTTTTTTACATGCAACCTGGAGAGGAACCTTCCCCACACCCGTCCCAACGGCCGAGAAAGGACCAGGGGGCCAGTTTTTAATCTCCAAGGCATTTTAGCATGTTGCTTCCACCACTGGTCAGTGGCTATAGGAAGCCTGTTTCTTAGGTTTACTTAGGGATGTTCCGTTTAGCTGGAAGTCCTGCAGGCCGGAAACAGTTGGAGTTGGGGGGTTTCTACTTCAGCACCCCCTCCCTCCTGGCCCCCCCGCAATGAGAGGCTGAACCCTGTGCCTGTGGAACTGAGACCCCTCCCCCACCCCCAGCACTTCTTCCCCTCCCGGACAGGCCGGCCTCTGCTCCCATCCCAGAGGGCGGCTTGTCCTGCTTCGGCACTGCTGGCCTGGTGGGTTTCCTGCAAAGACCAGCTTGGCCATAAAAGGAGAAAGAAGAGCGAGAAGCCGGGAAGGAGCCGCAGAAGCTGGCAGCAGCTTCCTTGGCTCGGGTGCCAGGCTGGCGGCCCCAGGGCTCCTGCGCCCCAGGTGTGCCCAGAGGGCAGCCAGCGGGAGGCAGCTGCGGCTGAGGGTGAGTTCTGCAGAAAGGCTGGAGAGGCGATCACTCGCAGCCGGCAACTGACCACCTGCCTTTGCCTTGGCCGCTGGGTCCGCCCTACGGCTCAGTCACGGAAAAGCTCCTCACGGGCTCAGCCTGCCAGAGGCTGACATAAACCACCAGCTCCGCACGCCACATTCCTCTCCCTTTCCGTGTTATTCCCGAAGATAAACATGTAATCAATACCGTTGATTTATAGCAGCAGCTGGAAGCCCACAAGTGACGTTGGCAGGAACCGAACAGTGTTATTTGCTAGTAAATTAGCCGGACGACGCTTTCTGAACCGGCTTGAGTGAAGCAAACATTTGCTTGCAAACGATCTTAAATGATACATTTGCTCCTCTGTCCTTTTGGCATCTATGCAGGCAACAGGGCAGGGGGGTCTAAGCGAAGATATTTTGTCTCCTAGGGTGCTGTGAGCAGATCCTCGCAAGCCCCCACAGGGCAGCGGTGCCTGGTAGGAAACCTCCAGCTGCCTCCTTTGCTCCCTCCCCGCACCCGCAGCCGCCCCGTAGCCCCAGCAAATGCGCCCCCAAGAGCAGAGGCCTCTTCGGGGGCTCTAAGGGGGCTCTGGATGCTACCCAACAAGCAGGCCAGCCTTTGGGCGGAAGCATCGACGGAGGCCCTTCAGGCATCAGACCCAAAAGGAGGACCACGCAATTTGGAGCATTTGGATCTTCCAGGGCAGCCCATCCACAAAACCAAAGTCTCCACAAACCCCACCTTGGCTCTTTTACACATTGGAAATACCCGGTGATTCACAAGGCCCCCCCTGGCTTCTCTCACCGAAGCTTCCCCTGCAGACCCAGGCTGTTCTCCTCCACTGGCCCTGCCAGCCTCATCCCAATGGGCTTAGATCCTAGATTACTCCATGGAGGTGTTCACAGGAGCCAGCAAAGGTGCTGCCGACACCTCCTGGGGCTGCCAGAGATGACCAGCTCTCCAGCCACAATGGCCGACAGGGAGCTGCCTGTGTCAGAGGGAGCAGCCGGAAAGGGAAACCAGAGGCGCAGCTATCGCTTCTGCCCAGCCACAGGGCCCTCCGGCTGCGGGCTCAGAAAGGCTCCCCAGCGGAGAGAACAGAACCCACAAGCCACGGGGGGGTGGGGGCATCCTCTCTGCACCACAAAGCTGCACATGAATCCAACTCCTGTCCAGCCAACCAGAAGCCCTTTTGCCAAGGGCGGGGAGGGGGATTTAGGGGTCGACTGTCAGGCACCCGGCTGCCCAAGCCCAAAGGTTGCCACCAGCGTACCACTCAGGCCAGTGGTAGACGGTTCCAGAAGGAATTCCCTCTCCCTGGCGAAGGATGGCATGGCAGACTCCTGATTGCCAACTGGGAACTCTGCCTGCCTGCCCTGCCTTCTCCGCCATGCCCCTATTTGCCCAGCTATGCCCTGGGATTCTCTCTGGCCACGTTCCCCGGCATGGGCGGCTGGACGGAGAGCTTTTCCTTTTTGAGTCACAAGCTGACCAAAGGACCGCAAAGAATGCTCCGGCACCCCTGCTCCATGGTGGAGGAGCCGGCCAGCCAGATGGAGCAACTGGGGTGTGTGGGGGTGGGGCAGAAACCGACTCCTTACCCTGCAACATGCTCCGGTAGGCGGTGTCGGCAATGGCGTAGATGTGCGGCGGCATCTCGTGGCGCTTCTTCCCCTTGTACATGTCCACGATCTTCTCCGAGTAGATGGGCAGCTGCTTGTAAGGGTTGACCACCACGCAGAAGAGCCCCGAGTACGTCTGCAAGAGAAGACCCCCAAGCGGTCAGGCCCCTCACCTGGGACCACCACATCCCTGGCGCCTGACGCTTTGGGAGGAGGCTGGTTTTTGCAGGGACCAGGGCGTTTGCGGGGCGGGGAGGGCAGAGATGTCAAGGGCAGCTCTCCTTCCCAGGGTCTGGCATCCAGGGGTGGACTGCTTCTGAACAGGGAGGCTCCATCCCAGTCACGACAGCCGTAGCTCAAAACCCCTCCCCATCCTGCTCAGGTCTTGGCACCTTCTCTGCAGCCCTCTCCCCTTGGAGCTCATAGGAGACGGAGGGGAATGCCTCGGATTTATTCTATATGGGAGGGGAAATGGGGGGGGGTTTTCTGGATCAGCCCAGGATGCCTGTAAATGCCCAGCACTTTCCACACTAACCCCCCATTGTGAAGGGTGGGGTCAGTCCTCCTCTTCCCCAAGGTTTGGGGCCAAGGCAACCGATGCAGCATCCCCAAGGGTGTTTTCTGCTGCCTGCTCCTCACCCCCCACCCCAAAATCTGCTATTAAAGCTTCCAGGTCCGTAATTGCAGAGATGCACCCAGGCTGCCTTTCAGATCCAGCCAGGCTGAAATCTGCGGCCTGGGATTTCCTCTTCTTGACCATATTAGGAAATGTCCCAAAGATTTCACACCAAGCAGCGCCCGGTATGGCTCTTGGCCGACCCGGAGAAGGCAGGTCCCGGCTGTTCTGGCAACGGACCTCTTGCAGGGGCTGAGCCGGGGCTTTCCGGGAGGGAAATGCTGGCTGGGTGAGGGGGGGCTTTCCAGGGGGTCTGGCCACCCAGGGTCCCCCCCCCCCCAGAGAGATGGGAAAGAGAGCCTCCGTATTTGGGGCCGCAGGTGAAGGAGAAGCCCTGGGGACTTGCACGGGTTGGGGAGCAACTTTCTGTTTTTCTCCATCATGGCTTCCCGAGTCTGCCGATGCCCCCCCTGCCCCCCCCCACCCACCCCCGGCTGGTCCTGGCTGCCTTTAGACACTCTGCCAGGGGAGCCCCGGCAGCCTCACCCATCATCATTATGACCGGGAAGAAACACCCTTCCCTCCTCGCAAGGCTGCCAGAGGCCCATAAATGTGGGGAAGAAGCTTTATGATGTCCCACTTGTGGATCTGTGTTTGTGGCTCCCAGATTTACAAGGGCATAAACCTTTCCCTCCATGTGCAAATCTCACACACCCCTTCCGGCCTGGAGCTCCTCTCTCCCCCTCCGCCTTCAGCCACAAATCCCCCACCCACCCCCCCACCCACCCCAAAGGAAAGTGGCACTTTCTCAGGACCTCCGATGTGAAGGAGGCTAGTCTGGGTGTGGAAACATGTGCAGGAAAAGTGCTAAACAAGAGAAGTCTCAGTCGTGTCCTTCTCATCTCCCGCCTTGGTGCAAGTTCAGTTTGGCAAACCTTTTGACAAGAAGACACAGATACCCCAATATATTTATTGTCTTGCTACGTATTCATGGAGTTGCTGTTCTTGGAGGTGTATATATAGATGGACCTGGGTAATTGCAGAGATCTAAATCAGGAGATGCCCTTATAGGGAGTCAAAAAAGTCAATATGGCAACTGTGATCAAATGATCAAAGCGCCAACCTCTTTTGGCGGCGGGAGGGGGGAGGGATGGACTGCAGAAGAAGCGGCTTTCCTTTCCCAGAAAGTGGACCCCCCCCCCCCCGCCAAAGGGACAGAAAAGAGAGCCGCGAGTTCCCAGGAAACCCCTAGGAAAAAGGGAAGAGAGCTCTGCTCCTGCCCAGGGGCTTCCTGCAGAATTTTGTCGAACTAGTTGTGCCCAGCTCACCCTGACAAGCAGCCAGATGGAAAGAGCAGCAGGGCAGGGGGTGTGTGTGTGTGTGTGTGTGTGTGTGTGTGGTTTTGCTTGGGACTTTCTTCTTGGCTTTCTAGTCTTCACCCCTCTTTAGCCACTCATCTCCCTTTTCCTTTTCCCCTTATTTGCGCATTATAGCAACCAAAATGAACAAAACCTCCCCAGCCCGGCTGCCGTGATCCGTTGGGCCCTGGGTGCGCTTCCTGCCCCTTTGGCTGTGCTGACGGAGGACGGCCATCGCCCCCCTGGAGTTCACAGGGCTGGGGAGGCAATTGGCGATGGACCCCCTGCCTTCTGGGGCCGAGAGACTTACGTAAATGAGGCCCGAGAAGTATCTCTCCCGGAGGTTGTGCAGGACGGAGGCTTCGTTGAGGCAGGTGAGCTCGGCCATGTCCTCCACCTTGGAGAACTTGGGCGGGTTCATCTTCTGGATGTCATCCTTGCTGAAGGTCACTTTCTTCCCGTTCTCGGCCAGCTCCACCAGCACTTCGTCCCCCTTCTCCTCCTTGATGCTCGCGGCTTCGAAGCCATGCTTCTCCGAAGGGACCCAGACCAGCTTCTTGGCCGCCCAGTCGGCCTGGGCCACCGTGGTGTTGACGATGTTCTTATCCACAAAGAGGAATTTCTCATCGTCGCTGAGTTGGCTCTTCTGTGCCATTTTGGCTCAAAGGGCACCTGCGGGGAGAGAGAGCCCACTCGGTTACCCATGAAGCCCTGAGCTGGCACAACATCTCCCTCCGGGCTAAACCGGGCAGGACCTCCCTCCGCAGGGATGCAGGATTCAACAGACATCACCCATGTCCACATTTTAAGCAAAGCCTGGGATTAAAAAAAAAGGGGGGGGGACACTTCTGGCAAGAGAGATCAGGGTGCTGCTTTGATGAACAGGATGGTTGCCAGAATGGCTGCTTGGCTAGGGGAGAGGGGCCTTTCCAAGCAAACCCATCACTCAGAAAAGGATCACTACCTTTGGAAAGTTGGGTTAATTCTAACATCAAGCTCTATTAAATAAAGTGCATACTTTTCGCAGTGAAAAATAACTTCAAGGCAACGTTTAGCAATGAAGTCCGGCTCCTTGATACTGTTTTATGCGTGAGATAATGATCAATATCTCTTCTTTTCAAGAGAATATTAATTAATTCCTGTTGAAGCAGGGAGAGGACAGACCTTCTCCTGCCAGCTCCCAGCATCAGGAATAAAAAAATGTGCTGCCTTGGAAGTCCCGCTGCCAGCTTCTCACCCAAGCAGGCCGGTGACCAGCCGTCTGGCCTGTTGGCTTGTGGCAACTCAAACTTTTATCCAGGAAAACAGCCTGGGAAATTTTCAGATTCCATGGCGGGTCTCTCTGCCCCTGTGTTACCAACAGATCAGGACTGGAAACTTTTTATCGCTTGTTTGGCCAGACCGGCTGGCCTTTGGTCAAGATATTTTATGACATAATCACAGGTCAGCTGAGTCCACAGAGGAAGCCCTGCTCAGCCACCGATGGCCAGCAGAACTGCAAACGTGGCCTTCCTGGGGTTGGCCCAGCCTTGGCAGACCTCAGGCCTTGTCTCCACATGTCACTTCCTCTTTTGCTGAGCTGGTTAAGCCTCTGCCTCATTGAGGTTGTTTTGACGGCATCTTTTGGGGCTACGTTGTCTTTTAATTGCGGGTTTGAAAGTGGCATTTCTTAGCTGCCTTGGAGGTCCTGCACTGCAGAGTCAGGAAGGCAGGATCTAAACATTTGCAGACAATATAAATATTGCCAGCTGCAACTGCCTGTGGGCTGCTAAGCTCAAGAGACAGGAATTCGTCACACACAATGAAGATGGAGAAGTTTGGAGCTTTCTGCTCCGTTTCCCAATCCTTGCCCTTTTCAGCCAGAGTGCAGATTTTTGAAAAGTTCCCAGAACTTTTAAGGGGCAGAAAGAAAGGTTCCAAGCACCTTTTGATTCACCCTCCTCCGCTCGTCTGTTTCTTCTAAAATCTTTAGCCTCGTCTTCCTCTCATTTACGGAATAAAGGGGCGTTTTGGGGAGAAGCCAGGAGAGCTCCCTTAACCCCACGGAGAGCTTCAAAGGGATCCAAGCCCCCAAAGGCAGAGTGGCCGGCCGTTTGCAAAGCTCTCTGCTTGCACAAATGCAGGCAGGCTACCATATATGGCCACGTTCTTCTCATTATGAGCAGATCCAGCCAAAAAAAAAGGAAGGGAGACAGAAAAAAAAAAACCCTAATGATAACAAGTTCAAAACAAATACCTTTTAGGGCATAACAGAATCCTTTCCAAAGACAATAATGAGAAGAAGTTGCCATTTACATGCAATGGCTCTGCTGGGAAGGCCAGATCCACCACAATGCCCGCAGAGAAGAGAGGCCGGCAGGAGCTGTCCACACCGGCCACTTCGGGGCTGAAGGCTGCCTGCGGCTTCTAGGTTGGGGATTGTAGCAGCCCTGGAAGTGAGACCCTCCTACCAAGCCTGCCTTGGGGAGCAGCCCCCACCTGGCTCCTTCACCTGCACGGAAGGCTCTCTCTGCTTCACAAGAAAAGGAGGAAGGGATGCAGTCAAGGATGGGCTGTCAGAGCAAATGATTTATGGCGCTACTAAATGCGGAGCGTGCAAAGAGGACAGGCTGTGGTTCAAAAGCCGCCATGGTTGTCAGTGCTGAGCTCAGCTGGCCTCCAGGTTTGCTGGTAAGAAGACCCCCTTACTCTGAGCGGTTTGCAGCAGGCGCTGAAGGGGGGAGAGCGTTTCGGTTGCTCCGTGCCGCTTCCCTTCCCTCACTGCTCACAGCAGTTGCGTCTCCTCTGAAGGCCTCCTGGGCTTCTTCAGAGACATGGAAGTTATTAGCCTCCACCGAACCAGCTCCCGTTGCTTCTCTGTAAAACCAGGGTGTTGCCACAAGTGACCCAACACTCCTCAGCCCTGAGAGGCTGAGCAGCTGGCCCAGCTCACCTGCCCCAGGGCAGACCCTGAGGTTGTGGGGGGCACAGCAACCGCAGGGAGACTCGGGCCAGAAAAGGTATTTTAATTGCCAGCAAGTAATCACATTCAGGACTTCAAGAAGGCAATTGGAAAAGATGCCTTAAATGTGAGTCTGTTGTAGCATACACCAACACTAAAAGTTGTTTGAAAGAAATGATCTTGGATCATTTCATCAATGGATTGGTCCTATTTGGGATTGTCTTCAGTGCAAATTTATTCTGGTGCTGAATGCAGTTTTGGTTTCTTAGCGTTTCCGTGCAGGTGGAGTTATTAGCTCTGCTTTGCATTCTGACTTCATTTATTCTACACTTCCTGGCAATAAGATCTGGACTGCAGCAGACTTCAGTCCACCTACGGGGGTCTCCATTTCTGGAATTATTAAAAAGAGGGTGTGCAACCCCACTTCCCAGGATGATGGGACTGGTACTCCTGCAGAGGGTGGGACTAGCTCATCCTTGGGAGCCCCCTCCACTTCAAAAGCTACAATGTGCAGATCCTGCACCGGCTCCCTCCCCGGTGCCTCTGCCTCCTGGGTGCTCAGACAGCAAGACAATAATCCCAAGCCCTCCATCCTGGCCTGAGTGAACTCAGGCAATGCTTAGAAGCAGGAGGAGGACAGGTCCAGCCACGCGGCCACTGGCTGGCTCACCCGCCTGCATCCCAGAGGGAGCATCTACTTCACTGCCCTCCCCAAGAGGTGCCGTTAGCCTGGAGGGGAGCAGCTCTTGTCCAGGGACGGTGCAGGAGGGTCCTTGGCCAGCCAGGGTACTTACAGAACTCCAGGAGGAAAGCCGAAGGCGCAGCGTGTCCAGATGGGTGCTTGCTAGCAGCTGGGCAGACCGAGCCCAATGCAGCCTGGCCCCTCTATATAGAGGTGACGGGCTCAGGGGAGGGGCCACCGATTCCTCCCCCCAGTAGAGTCTCCGGGGCTCAGATAGGAAGACTTGTGCCAGGGGGTGAGGAGAGAGAGGGGGGGGAGGGGGCTCCAGCAATGGGTTTGCAGCCAGACTTCACCCCCCACCCCCCAGCTAAGAGGCCTTCTCTCCCTCCCCTTTCCTCCCCCAGTAACTCATGTCCTGGCATTATGGGATGGGTCGGAAATTATCTGCCTTCCCATTGCAACACTATTTCCCAAAATGGAGCTTTCTTTCATCTGGTCCAGAGATATGAGCGGCTGCTTAACCCTTCGTGCTTTCTCATGCGCTGCCAGGGCCAGCAAAGGGGAGATGGGGGGGGGGCATGGCAGATAAGAGGCAGCTCCCCCGTTTCTCCCTGGCCTCAGCACGCTCTTATCTGGCCCGGCTTTGATGCAGAGCTTAAGCCAGAGGCCCCTCTCTGTGGGGGCGGCCGTTCCCAAGGAGGACGGAGCTGTGTGTTGTCTCTGGCCTGTTTATGTAACATGTGGGGACCTTGGGCTGTTTTGGGCCGGCCCGTCTCTGGGGAGTGGAAAGGGATCGCTTTTTCCCAGCTTATGCCCGGCTGTTTCTGCAGAAACCTTGCCTGGTGCTCCCTTCCTGAGAACCTCTGCAAACCTCCCCATGCCTCTCTGTCCTTAAATGGCAAAAAAACGGCCGTTAAAAGGCCTGGGGCACTGGGAGGAAGGGGCGGAGTGGGTTCCCTCGGCCCAGCAGGGAAGGAGGCAAGAGGTCCTGCAGGAGGAGGCTGAGCCCCCTGACGCCTCCGGCCCCACACGCTGGCTGGCTGGCTGGCTGGCTGGCTGGCCCAGGGTCCTCAGGCATCCCAAATAGGGAATGCCAGGATCCTCCAGCAATCCCTGTCCACATTCCAGATGCAACCATGTCTCTGCAGATGTGCAGAACAGCAGCAGCCTAAATATGGAGCCCAAGGCAGGCAGGGAAGGCCAAGCTGGTGGCAGCTCCCAGGAGGGGAGGAGGGGGAGGCTGGCTGACCCACTTGCTGCCCTGGGGCCAGGAGTCTTGTCCAAGCTTGACTGGGGGGTGGGCTGGGGGGGGGGGGCTTGCCTGCCAAGGCTGGCCTGATGCTCTCCAGCTGGGCAGCGACTCCACTGCCCCTCCCAAACCTTGGGCTCTACCAGGGGAGCAGGCTCTCTGCTTTCACAGGGCATCAGACGGTTTGCCTGGTGGGGCCCCTGCCCACCCTTTGCCAAGAGGGGCCCCAGACCTCAGAGATTATCCTCGAGGGGCCACTGCCCTTCTGAAGCAGCAGCCCCACCGTGGGTGAGCCCAGTTTCTCTTTACTTGTGCCCCACAGGCCACGCCAGGTGTTGCCAGGCAGCAGGTCCCACCTTGGCCTTGCTGGGCAGGGTCAGGCTCTGGGGGACCCAGCAATTCACGCTCGGCAGTGACGGACAGAGCAACGTCTCTTCATCAGGCAAACGCAGAGAGTCGGGGGGAGGGGAAGAGACGGGTAGATAGATATAGAGAGGGAGATAGAGAGAGGGAGAGATGGAGGGAGAGAGACAAGGAGGGAGGGAGGGGGAGAGAGAGACCTCGCAGGGAAAGCCGAGGGAGTCACACGGGCGGGCGGGCAGCAGCCACCGGCTCTCACGGGTGCTTCTTGGAGGGCGACACCCCTTGCAGAAGATGGGAAGGCTGCCCTACTGGAAGAGCTGCGAAGCTGTTTTATACATATCTGCACCTCTCAATGGCCACAGCTTAAAAAGGAGTGGAAACCCTTTCCTGGCCTTTAGGCGGCTGGCTGACAAGCAAGAATGCCAAGCAAGGGATGATTTGTGGGCAGGAGGACTGAGCTGGAGCGGGGAAGGAAGGGCGGCTGCAGGACACCTGGCAGAAGGAGGACGCTTGGTGGGCAGAAACCATCAGGAACCGCAGCGGTGCTTCCCCTCGCCTCAGAGGGAAACCTACGGAGGAGACCAGCATGCAGCACAGCAGCTGACCGGGCTCCAGTGAAGTCAGGAAGGAGCTATCGAAGGACAGCTACTCTCCTCCGGCCAAAGTAGCAGATCACAAGGCCCAACCGCCCTGTCCTGGTGGGGGGGGGGAGCTCTGGACCGGCAGTGACCACGACCTCATGGCCGGAAAGGAAAAGCTGGCCGTGCCATCCCAGGATAGCTGCAGTGCTGAAGCGAGTCCCTCTGGGGCTCCCCTTCAAGAGACCTGCTGCCTCTGTCCACGTCCCTTGCAGTGGGAGCGTGCCAGATCGGTTAGCTGAGTTGCAGCAGATGGCGGCTCGGGAAATCAGTCTGGCCTTGAGGTGTCACACGCGTCTCAAAAGACTTGACTGAGGGCTCTTCCCCTCCCTCACACAGCCGATGTAGGCCTCCCTCTCAAAGGGGGAACCGGAACAGCCCGTCTGAAGGCGTAGTGTGCATTTGGCTCTCTTACTGTGCTGTTAAACAACCAGATGAGTTAAGGGCCATTAAGTCACAGTCAACTTTTACCTAGTACAGAGATCTTCTGCTGAGGGATCTGAAACACTGAAAGTACAGATGATTGTGGACCTTCTGAGTCAACCGTTTTTATTGGACCAAACAGGAGATTACCACAATAATAAATGTAAACAGCTGCACCTCATAAAAAATGCAGTTATACTTTATTCATGGATGCCTTGTGAACCGCACATATCTTCAAAAGTCTCACCATGTTCCGAATCTGCAACAGTTTCTGAAAGTTAAGATAAAGCCATTAAGGCCTTAGTATCCAAGCACAGGTTGCAATGTGGTGACGCAGACAAGCGTTGTTTAAAAGAGCCTTGACAACTTGGCTCTTAACCCAGGTCTTTGGTGAGGAAGATCCCTGGCTGACTCCACCGTTCATTGATTTCCCTGTAACTTGTGAGCTGCCCAAAGTCACTGAGAGTCAGGCAGCGCATTTGTAATAAACTATTATTAATATATACACACATCCGTCGGTTCGAGGGTGCTGTACCCATTTAATGACTTCAATGAGATGGCTTGCTGGTAGTCCACTTTGAAAGGGCCACTGAGGGGCCTCCAGGGGATGCGGGGGGGCCCTTCTCTTCATTGCCTCGCAACAGCTGAGTCAGAATTCCATACAAAAGGGGCCTGTTAAGAGAAAGGAAAAAACCCCAACCCTTAAAGAGGAGAGTCTTCTAAAGGGTTCCTTCACAGCTGCCGACTTCAGTGGGGTCTGCAGAGAGGGACCCCCCCCAGGAAGAGAAAGAAAGGCACAAGGTAAGAGTCACTCAGCAATCAAGCTCTCCAAATCCAGCAGGGCTCATTGCACAAGGAGGACATTGGGGTGGATTTATCAGCCTCTAAATGCAACAGCCAGCCAGGCACTCACATGCAACCTCAGAAATAACAACCTGCAACTGGAAAAAGGGTTGCAAAAATGACCACTGCCCGCTTGCAAATGATTTGGGAGCTGGACTAGGAGGCAGCCAATGTCTGACCAACGGAGAAAAACCTCGGGAGAGCCGGTCGCCTTCTTACACGGATCTGCTGCTTGGGTCTTCAACGACGTGCAGCTCCTTGGCGAGGAAATCTCGGTCCAAGGGGATTTCAGGCTGGCCGGACTCTGCAACACACGAGGGGGGGGGCTCAGCTCCGAGGGCGGCCGGATAGAGATGCGGGGACCGGTCTGGCGGGGCGGCCTGGCCGGAGGCTGCCCGGGCTCCCTAGCCTGATAGGGGCGCGGGGGGTGGGGTGGGGCTCTTCCCGGAGCCCTCCTCTGCAAAGGCGGCACAGCCTTCCGGGACCCCATGGTTCCTCCGCCCCTCCTGCAGGGGGCCGGATGGATGGCCTCTCGGACACCCCCCAAAAAACCTTCCTCACCGGCCAGGAAGACGGAGGCGCTCGAGTTGTACCGGTGGAACTGCAGGTACTCGCGGATGAGCTCGTTCAGCAGGAGGGTCTCGCGGGAGGCGGCGGGGCGCGGCTCGCCCGGGTCGTCCAGCGTGGCGAAGACCTCTGCCCGGACGCGGGCCCGAACCTGCCCCAGCGCCCCGCTCCGAGCCAGCGCCTCCTTCAGGGCTGCGCGGAGAGAGAGGCGCGCCGCCGTTCAACAGGAGCGGCCCCACCGCCGCCTTCCGCCCGCCCGCCCGCCCGCTCCCGGCACCCCCGCCCGTGGCGCGGGCGGGCCCAGCGAGGAGCTCCGGCCGCCCCGCCTCGCCCGCCGCCGTTACCCGCTTTCAGCTCGGCGACCGTCGCCATCTTGGGAGGCGGCGGGACACAGACGCCGAGCGACCGAGGACCGCCCACATCGGCCCGGCCCGGCCAATCGCAGCGCGGCCTGACTCAGCAGCGAGCGACCGGGGGCGGGGGGGGGAGGGATGCTGAGTCAACGCGGCCGAGCTCGCCCGCTCGCCGGCGCCCTCTGGCGGCCCCGCCTGGACTCATCGTGGTCCTGCGAGACGCCCCCTGCGTGGGGGACCGCGGCCGGGGAGGCTTCGCTTCAGCCGGGGGGTGGGGGGGGCGGTGCATCCGGCGGTTCCCTCCCGGGCGCTCCCCCCGCAGGCGAAGCGGCTTCTGCCGCCGCCGCCGCCGCCGGGATCGCGCTTCCCCCGCCCTGCCCCTCCCCGCCCCGCGCAGCCTCCTACGGGGACGGGGGGACCCCGCGCTGTCCGTGGACGCCCCTGGCCGGCGGGGGTCGCGGGCGGGACGCTGGCCGGGGAGGCCCCGGGAAGAAGCAGCGGGCCGAGCGGGCTTCCCGCGCCCCCCTCCGTCTGCCGGGCATCCCCACCCCGCCCAGGCAGCGCCCGCCCCCCGGCGCCGCCGCTCCGCCCCCTTCCTGCCTCCGCCGACCATCTGCTGCGCTGCCGGCTGTGCGGAGGGGCCCGGAGCCGCGCCTGCCCCCCCGCCGCCGCCTCCGCCTCCCGGGCAGCGGCTCCATGGGCGCCCGCTGGCTCTGCGACGGGCCCTTCTGGGTAAGAGTCCCGGGCGGGGGTCCTGGCGGGCTCCGGCCGCGAGAGCGGGCCGCGCAGCGAGATCCCGGGAGCCGGCCGGCTGCCGCGTGGCCACCGCCGGGAGCCGCCGGGCGGGAGTCGCGCTGCAGCGGCTGGCGCTGCGCGGGCTCTTGTTTTGCTCCGGGCGCGAAGGGATGCTTCGGTCGCCCGGGAGCGCCTGCCCGGAGAGGGCGCAGGGGAGGCGGCCCCGCCATCCTCCGAGGCCCGGGCAGGATCTGCCGCCGCGCCCGGTCTGGCCTCGGCCGACGGGGCAGCGCTCGGGCTCCCGGGCTCCGCTTCGGCGCGCGTGAACTTGCCCGGCGGGCGCGCTCCTTGGCCGGCGGCGGGTGTCCCCCGGGGAGGTTGCGCGGGTGAGCTGAGCGCGGCCCTCCCGCCCCCGCAGAGGGGCAGGCTTGACGGGCGGACACCCGAGGCCGCGGCAAGAGCCGGAAAAACCACTTTCGGGCCCCACTCGGGTTCCAAGGGCCGCTCTGCCAGGGAGGGCGCCTTTCTCGGCGGGCCTCGGTGTCCGGCTCTCGGCCGGCAAGGCACCCGGGGTGCTGCGTGTGATGAAGCCAGAGCTTGGCACCCTGAGGCTGGGGCTGAAAGGGGGGGGGCTTCTCCCTGCTGCTGCTTCTAAGGTGCCCTCTAGCCCAGGTGCAGGCACCAGGCCCGGACCCTCCTGCAGGCAACGCAGGGGCTCCACACTCCTTGGCTTCCCGGCACGTTGGCCTTTAAGCTGCCCAGGACTGTTAGCAACTGTTTGGTTTGCAGGCAGCCCTGCGATCAATATAAGCTTGGGTGTCCAGTTGCTCGGTGTTCACCTTCGGAGAATGCACTGCTGCATATTTCCCCCTCCAGCAAACCTGTTGCGTCTTGCCAGCCACCCTGCTGGCTCTCCCGATGCCCAGCTTCCCCACCCCATCCGTTAGCCATTGCTGTGGGCGTTGAACGTGGCGCATCTAGCCACAGGCCTCGACCTGCAAGGATTCCCTCTGCTTGAAGCGGGAGAGCAGATGGTTGCCAGGGAATTGTGCCCGCTGTTTGTTTATGGCAGTCGCTCTGTTTTCCTCTGTTCCCAGATCCCCGTCTGAGTGGGGAAGGATCCTTCTTGGCCAAGTGGCTTTCCTGGGAGTGGGACGGGCCCCAGCCAGGAGAGTCAGGCTGCGCCCACTTTCCTCTCTTCAGGAAAAAGCCAGTTATCAGCTGTGGGACAGAACAGAATAGCCTGTTGTATACGGCAGGCTAAGTCCTTGTGGAAATCTGGGATCATAACGTGGTGTTGGTTTCTAGACAAAATAGGTTTTCGAGTGTGTTTGGTTTGCTTCGCCTCACCCTAATGATTGAGCTTCCTGCCTTCTGACTCGCCTGGAAAAACGGTGTCATTTTTTAAGTATTCAGGCAAATACTTTTGTGCTTCTGAAGAGTGCCAACAATTGCAGAATCTTGGCTTTGCAGTGTAAAAAATGAACAACAGCCACATTCTGAGGCCCGAATTCTGAGAAATCTTGGCAGGATGGGCAGCTTTCAGAGTGGCAGGTGAACTCCCAGTATTAAAAATAAGCAGTAGAGAAAGAGGATCTTGGTTGTCAAATAATCACTGATCCAGAAATATCAACTGTCCTCAACTTGCAGGCGTGTGTATTATTCAACGGCACAAAATCTCACATTGTCTATATGGGAAAAGGCTTCCCATAGATCTGCTACTGCTTTAAAAGTTTAGCCAGACGTTGCTGCCTGTTTTTCACAGCTAAATTTGTTTTGTCTGCAAAATACAATAAATTGTAGCTCCGGCTCACCAGAGTTGAATTACAGCACCAGCAACTTTTGTTTACTGCATTTTAGGTAAAACGGTTTCAGGCCAAACAGCCAGTCTGTGGGCCTGGGTTGTTTGGGGCTTTAGCTCAGAGGCGTTTGCAAACGGAACTAAGTTGGCACGGGTGGTCAGTGCCCATTTGGCCCTGCAGTCAGCAGGATTTGATTTCCTTGCTTGTCCCGGGCAGCTCTGGTGTTGCTCTCCACTTATTCAGTGGGAGAGGGACCCGCAGAAGAGCTGCGGAGCTGTTGGCGCTCAAACGGTGCTGCCAGGTCCCGGCTTGGTCACTGGGGGAGAAACGTGCTGTGCTTGGGTTTGTAGGTTGGGGCATGAAAGCTGCTGGAGTTCCCGTGGGTGCTCTGGGCCGGGTGGGTGGAGCAAGTGGGCCAGTGGCCTCCTGACTCATCTTGGCCTAAACTTGGAAGCAGGAGCCGGGTAGGGCGAGGAGCGGCTGAGTGCAAAAGGCTTTGCTAAATTTGGCGGCTGGGAAGCCAAGCGAGTCACCTCAGGTCATCCCCGGAAAGCCGGCCAACATGAGGCACTTTCTCCTGGTTCTGGTCGATTCCTCCGAGCTCCCAGAAAGGAGACCTGGCAGGCCGCTGCTTCCCTTCACCCTGTGCCCAGAGCCCAGTGGGGCCGAGGCTCCTTGGCACTCCCCTTCCGCCCTTCTCTGCTTGCCTACCTGTAAAGCCCCTTCCCTTTCACCTGAGGACATTTTGGCCAGCCCTCCGACCAGCCTCAGCCTCGGCATGAAGAGTCACGCCAGGCCCCCAGGATGGCCCAGGGCTTTCCCCCAAAGAGTGGTCCAATTTTGGCCCCTTCCCCACCGCTTGACTGGGTTGCTGGGCGGTTCCAGAAACGGTGCGCAGGGCAGCCATGTCTTGACCCAGAAACGTTCTGGAACCTTTCTTGCAGAAACCAATGGGGGGGAGGGGGGAAAAGGGGGAATAGGGGGAAAAGGTTGGGGTGTGGCGGAGGGAGGTTTTCATAAGGCTTCCTTGACAGCCTCCCCTCTTCCCTTGGCCAGTTCCTGAATTGGTGGGATCTTTTGCCATTCAGGTAGCTTCCCTGTTGCCACCCTCCTTTCACAATTAAAAATAGCCCTTAATAATCTCCCTGCTGGGGTTCTGGAGAGGCCAGGGAGAGAAAGGACGGAGCTAATCTTCTTACTGCATTTTTGGGATTGCTGCAAAGAAAAGGAAGGAGGAAACAAGGAGGCATTCTCCCCCCCCTTCCCCTCCCCCCAAGCTTTTTCCTTCCCCTCCTGTGGAGTAGCGGGGGGGGGGGGCACCACCTGGCCCTCTGAAAGAGGTGGCCCTGCAGGATTTGCACCTGTGGCATTACCCGGGCATTGGGTGAACTGCAGTTTGCTAGTTCAGGCAGGGTTTTCCTTTGGAAGTGAAACTAGGAGGGACTCCCGAGGCCCTCCAGGCAGGGCCCCCCATGCAGGTTTGGGGTTCTCCTGGAACAAGGCAGACTTCAAGGCTGCCGCAGGAGTTTCCCCCTGAGGTTGGAGCCCAACTGATTTGCCTTCCCAGCTGGAGGGGCGTCATTGAAATGCTGCTTGCTTCGGGGCGCATTAACCCCCCTCCCCAAAAGGTAGGCAAAGCGATGCCCGACCGGAGTCCTCCAGGTGAGCGAGGGACATGGCCTCACCTCCTTTCCCTACCTGGTCTCTCTGCTTTTCCGCAGGACTGGAATCTGACATGGTACACGAAGCACCCGGACTTCACCCCCTGCTTCCAGAACACCGTCCTTGCCTGGACCCCCTGCCTTTACCTCTGGGTGGGCTTCCCCATCTACTTCGCCTACCTCCGCCGCCATGACCGGGGCTACATCCAAATGTCTCACCTCAACAAAGCCAAAACGGTGAGTCTGGGCCGGGCCAGCCCTTTGCAGCCGGAAAGCCCCTTCTCCCTTGGGAACCCTAGTGCTGGGGGCAGGGGGGGGGGCTGGAAGGAGCTTCTTTGGCCCCCCCACCCCACCCCACCCCCACCCTGGAGGCCTCTGCTGGGAGACTGTGTTGCGGCACAGGGGGAATCAGGGAAGGATTGATCTGAATGCAGGCTTCCCCTTTCCGAGTTTTTCAGACTTCGCTCCCCTGCAGTTCTGTTGGCCTCTTGGTGTCCTTTCTGTCCCCTGAAAAACGCCTCTCTTGCCTTGCAGGCCTTGGGCCTCTTCCTGTGGCTCGTCTGCTGGACAGACCTTTTCTACTCTTTCTGGGAAAGAAATCACCACATTGAGCGAGCTCCGGTTTTTCTAATTAGCCCTACCATTTTGGGCATAACAATGGTGAGTGAGAGTAACTGGGATTGTTGGGTTTGGTGCATTTTTATCCATCAAACTTTCTCCCTTGTAACCACAGACGGCGGCCGTGATGCCCAGGACAGGAGCCGGGAAGCAAATATTGGATCCGGCCTGTTCCAGGGCAAAGTGAGCAGCTGTGATCCCGGGAGAGCCTCCATA